TGTTGTCAGGTGTTTAAGAAGTTGATTGTGGGCTTTTTGTTTTGTTTTGTTTTATTTTCCAAGATGAAACGTTTTGAAAACAAAGGCAGGTTTTCTTAACACTTTGACTTTCACTTTAATAAGATGTGCAGTCCTTACTCTTTTTTTTTTCTCCTATTCAGTATTAATTTTTCTATGCATAAAAAACCCAACATGGACAGGTTACTGCATTGACTTCACTCTAATGGGAGACACAGTAATTTTGTTTTCTATTATAAAATATATTTGCATAGCTCATTGTGTTGCTCTATGTTTTCTGAATTTCCCATTCATATTGCTGGAGAAAAAAAGAGTAAAATGTAGTCTATTTTCCAACAGAAGGAGCTATAAACTTTTGTGAAGTCTCACAGTTGTCAGCATGTCATTTATAAACACTGTTACAATCCTCTACCTTCCTAAAATTTAAATACAATTCAAAGAACTGGCTTCTATTGAAAGGATGCTATTAGCATATAAATACAACGGAATTATTTTGGAATAATACAAATATTTCAAGTATGACATAGTAAAGAATTTACTCATAATTATAAAACCTATGAACCCTATTGAGTGTATAATACTGGTCTTTGTTGAAACTCCGTTACAGTTGTGTGAGAAACATGCTTTTGTGTTGATGAAAATAAATTACTTTACCATCATTCAACTTTGTTTGTCAACTTAATTATTACACTGTTAAAATATTGCTTTGCATTAGTCAGAACAGAATATTTTCCTTTTATATAGTTTCCTTTTCCCAGGGGTAAATTTTAATGCCCTGAAAGGTCATCAGAGGTCAGGACTTCTTGACTATATCTCAACAGTGCATTTCTGGTCATCAAAAGAAATAAGCCTCTGACCACTGGTAGCTGCTGTAAGGGTTTCTTTTATCCTGCACCTGTGACAATTACCCTGTGTTAGTGAAGCTAACAGGAGTCAGATTGTAGGTTAAGGGTCAGGGCACTGTCAAGAGGAAGTTAGTCTTCAGTCCACTAAATCTGTTATCATTTTCATCTAATGTGACATCCATCTGTCAATCAGGGAATTTAGGCAATTGTCTTATTCTAAGTGCTGCACTTTATGCCTCTGCCAGCTCACATTTTACTGCTTTTCCTATAATTACATTTTTCTACCTCTGAAAACCTATCTACAAAATAAACAGTGAAAATCTTACTTGATCATTTTGAAGATCCAGGCTTTTTATGCTAAAAGCTGTTTCACTTACAAAATTGAGTGATTCCTCTGCAAAGTTTTATATTCATTTAATTTTCATTGTTATGTCTTTTTAACACACAGAGAGAGAATAAAGCTCCTCTAACTACATGGATATCAAAATAAGTTTGCATTTAAAATTGCCAAATGCATACCCATCAAAGGGGGTATGCCTCATACCCTTCTCAGAAACACCATGCTTCTCAAACACCAAAAAACAGCGTGCTATAGGTATGAATGACAAGGATAAGTGTTTACAATGGACTTGTGAGAAATTAGAAGCTAACATACAGCTGAACTGACTGCATCTCCACATATAGCACCACAGAACGAAGTTTCAAACTCTGTCAATTCTAGTTCAGTGCTGCTTTTAAAAATGTGCTCCATTTCAAAGCACATGAACAATGCCAGCCTGTGACCAAAACACTTAGATAAATAGGAAGACATATAAAACCTAGGTGTAAAGGTAAATGTTCTACTGAATATGGGTGAGATTGCTCATACACCTCAATTTATACATACTTTTAATTGCTTTGGTGAACAAGAGTGTAAATACTTTGCCAAGCATAAAAATCATGGTGTGGTTATATGATGCAGTTGAGCCAATCTAACAGCTTGTTACCACTGAAAAGAATAGTACTGTTCCCCCTATTTCCTCCCCCTGCCTTCCCACCCCAGATTAGTTTTCTGCTGGGTTAGCAAATTTAATTGCCTCACCAAGTGGTTAGGCAAGCATGCAAGCCAGTGTAGGGACAGTGACAAGAGGATGTGGCTGGAGAGAATGTTATTGGCAAGCCATTACATAGATCCACTCATCTAATTAAACTGTAGTTTCTCCTTTCACTCTTGCAGAAATTCCCCTTTTTAAAAATGACATTTAACCAACAGTTACTACCAACAAACTCTCTAGGACCTATACTGCTACAATTTCACTGACAGCAAAGGTGATACTTAGGAGATGCTCTTGTTAAAGATTCTAGAACAGAACCTGTCTCTGTACAGCTGCAGTAATATTAACTGTGTTTTGGTATATTTTATTAGCAGTCTTGAAAGAAGGCTAGGATTCTCATTTGTATATTAAAGATGGGGAAATCAAGGCACTGAAAGGGGAAAAAAACTACCATGGAAAGTCACTACAGAAATATAAAAGGACTACAGTATTCTTAGGTCCACTACAAGAATTTATGCTCTAGACCATAGCATTCTTCTACCAAATTCATGGGGTTCTCTATGTCTTAGTGTCAGATGTTTAATTGTTTCAGAGGAAGTAGGGTTCCTTGCAGCATCCACAAATTCTTGTACTCTTCTACTCTTGCCAGCATGGTTTCCTAGTCTGTCTGTCCACACTGTGTGAACTTTCTGTTTAAGGGATTGTCTCCAACTACTCAAAGTTTTCTTTTAGTAAAATTTACTCTACTTTTTTCCACCTAATTTCTCCGGAGATGAATTAGATACTCTTCTCTTCCTGCCACACCCCTGTCTTTTACTCTTCCTGATTTCTGACTTTCATCTTAGGGTTTTTAATTGATTCTGGAAGTGCTTTTTTATCAACTTATTTTTATAAAACCTTGCTTCGCTTAACCATTTAATTTTGTTTCTTGAAAAAGCCAATGACTGCAGAAACCATTGCACTCCCAGAATGGGGACACAAAAATAACTATTCATGCAAGAGAGTAGTTGTGCAAAGCTCAGTGCGAAGAGGTGCAGTTAATTTTAATATCTTGTCCTGCACTGTGGTCAGATTTTTGCTGGATCATCTACATAGATGTGGAAGTGGAGAAACACTTCCTGTTTGCTCATTATAGCTCGGACCATGCAAAAATTTCAAGGCAAATGGTAGTTGTCAAATTACATATCTATGTGGTTTGAGGCTGGTCTTCCACAGTCCAGTCATCTTCTCACTTTAGAACACTATACATGTGCTCGTAATTACTTGCTAGATTGAGTTAACAATATAGTTGCCCTTAGTATTTGACATGCTGATATAGGATTTATGGATGAATAATGGTGGAATTTTAAGTAAAATTATAGTAGCATTTTTAAGAATAACTACAGGCTGCAGTTTCCACACTCAAGGCCACAGGAAAAACTGTCCAAGAAATGTCTTATTTCATAGTTTGTTAACCGATAGTCATATTCAGTGGAACATTTCAAAAGAAATAAGTCAAATTTTGCATAAGAGAGGTCCTTATGCAAAAATATATTCTGGTAATAATATTAGTCATCCCTATTAACCCTGTATGCTGGTAACAGAAAAGAATTTTAGAGTTTTGCTGCTAGCCTGGCACCTCTTATAAGGTGCGTGTGTTACATAAGCACAAATAAAGCTGTAGTTTCTTTGTATGTTTGTATGGTAATAATTCTGCATTAAATTTCCAGAAAATCTCATATTCAATATCTCTGAAATACCATTTTAACATCTTATCTTTCTATTTCTCTTTAGTATTTATGAATAAATTAAAATCACAAACATTTATGTCTCTTGCTGTAACTCTTTTGGAAATGCGTAAATTCTGTAGAGAAACCATTAAGGCTGAGCAAATCCAATTAGGCAAATATAATTGTTTCCTGTGCTAAGGTGGTAACACAGGGTATATTAAAGAGGGAAGCATATGAATGATTTTGAGTTTGTTGGTTTTGATTACCTGTATTTAAGTTGAATTAAAATATTTTTTGACCTTTCATGTAACAAAGAGAAAGGCCAACAATTAGAAAGAGAGCCTTCATTGCTTTCAGTGCCCAAGCTCTTCATATTCACAGAAGAAAAAACTTGGAATATTTTCAAGATTTAAGTAGAGAAATGATACCTCTAAAAGGAAAGTATGCAACTCACAGTGAGTAAAAACTATATCTTCTCCAAGGTTTCTTCTTCAATTAAGTCAACAACTGGAGTAGGGCAGACTAAAACAAGTTTTCAGAAGTAATTTATAGAGAGGCGTAAAGTCCAGCTATTCATAACAACTCTGATGTTACATTATAGATTATAAAGAAAGACAGAGTGAAAGAAAGACTTTTTAAAAGAAAATATGCAGAAATACGATGGTATTTTCTATTATTTATTTAAGAAACCTTTGGAGGATGCTATTGTAAAGTTTTCCTGTTTAGTCTTAGGAATAGAACAGAACAGTACGTTTCAGTTGGAGGGGATCTACAGAATTGTCTAATCCAACTGCCTGATTGATTCAGGGCTATTATTAAGGGCATTGTCCAAATACATCTTAAACACTGACAGGCTTGGGGCACTGACACTTTTTCAAGAAGTTTTAAGAAGTGTTTGACCACCCTCTTGGTAAAGAAATGCTTCCAAATGTCTAATCTGAATCTCCCCTGGCACAGTGATGAACCATTCCCACACATCCTGTCACTGGATACCAGGGAAAAGAGCTCAGTTCCTTAGTCTCCACTTCCCCTCTTCGGGAAGCTGTAGAGAGCAATGAGGTTTTGCCTCACAGCCTCCTTTTCTCCACATTAGACAAGCCCAAAGTATTGAGCTTCTCCTCATAGGATATGCCTTTCAGACCTTTCACCAGCTCTGATGCCTTCCTCTTCTGTTTCAAGATGTGAGTATTTATATACAACAAAATGATCACAACAACTGTGGCAGGTTGACCCTGATTGGACTCCAGGTGCTCACCAAAGCTGTTCCATCACTTCCCTTCTCAGATGGACAGGGGAGAGAAAGTATAAGGGAAGGCTCCTGCATTTAAATAAGGGCACGGAGAGATTGCTCACCAATTACCACCATGGTAAAACAGACTCGACTTGGGGAAATTATTCTAATTTATTAACAATTACATAAGAGTAGAATAACAAGAAAGAAAATTGAAAACGCCCTTTTCCCATCTTCCCTTCTTCCCAGGCTCAACTTCATGGGTTGTGGTCAGTTCATCAAGTGTTGTTTCTGCCAAATCCTTCTTCCTCAGTGGGAGGATATCTTAAGCTGAGAAAGTGAAAAAGCACCCAACTAATATGAGACCAGGTCAGGAACACAATCACATGGTTAGCTTTGGCACTTTGAGACTGCGTATAGATCTAATGATTCCTATATCATGATGGAAATTTTTCCCCCCTGGTTTTAGGTTGAGGAGAAAAAAATATCTAGAAATATTTATGCATTATTTTTCATGTCCATATTTAAATTGTCATAGAATAAATAATTAAAATAACATTTATTTGGCTTTGTTGTTAGGCCCTCTCTGCCATCTGACAACAGCTATATAGGAAGCCATTATGGTTTTCTGATATCTGTTGTATTTGTGCAGCTAAATGAGGTATATCTGGCTACATTTACCCTCCAGAAACTTTGGGACCCCTGAATTTCCAAGTAATTGTTAGTTTAACACGTTGGTTTTTAAAATTGTATCTACCATTGATTTACAGAACCTGGTCCCAGGTTCTGTATTAAAAATAGGTTAAAACAATAAGTAAGGTTTTAATGTACAAATTCTTTGTGGAAATTATCTGTGCCAATTCTGCCCTTGTGCAAAAATTGCCCTTGCTTTCTTTGATTTTTTTGCCTCTAGCTGGTACTTGGAAGTCCTTTAAGGCAGAAACTGTCCTTTTTGTTTATTAATAGTACATTCCTAGAGTAATTAGGCACCAATAACAAAAATTAAAAATTATAATTATCTCTGGCATAAAAAGGTAGTACGTGTTCTCATATGTTTGGTTGGAGATAGTGAATTTTACATATGACAGTGTTAGTGTACACTTTAATGACTATCTTCATAACAAATAGTAAGGGGTTATATTTCTAAGTAAGGCTAAGTAGTCAGAAAACAGCAGAAATTGCAACCAGGCTTCGAAATAGCTGAATCTTCAATGTTTTGTGATTACAGGTTCCCAACAGCCTAGCAGAAAACCATCAAATTAAATGGAAATAGGATATGTTATCAGCTGCAAGTAGTCATCTTTTTTATTAGCTCTGCAACAACCAATCAGTCACACCACAGTGTGCAACTGTAATGAAATATAGATTTTTTTTGTTGTTGTTATAAAGAAAACCCTTCCGTTTTATGAATCTACACATGCCCTTTAGTGAGCAGTAGATGATGTTGCCAATAACATTCCATTCTTTAATTTTTCAAGTTTCTTTGAAGTACCAGAATGTCAAGTATGTGAGGCCTGGAAAGTGAAGTCCTCAATTTATTTGCTGAATTGTTGCACTGAGTCTGATTTTCCTATCCAGTTATGATTGTATGCTAGAGAGAAAATCTAGTAAAGTAAGACATATTTTCCCAATAGAAGTCTATATTGAGACTACAAGTAATTACAACTGTCATTATCTATTGTAATGTTATCTTTTTAATTTTGCATACACCCAGACATTAAAACAGGACTAAACCAAAAAGTACTCATTTTACATGTTTCCTAATGGTTGTCCAGTGTTAAAAACCTTGAGGGAAAGGATTTTAAAATAACATGAGAATTAAAGGGTTTCAAACGCTTGAAATATTCATATCTAAGAAATTAACTCCCACTGCAAACAAGGATGAATATAGGCTGCTCCAACACTGAGCAACTTAACTCTAGAGCTTTGAGCCATAAGGTGGCTAGACTCACAACGGAAGACCTAGACAATTATAAATCTTGTAAGTCCTCTGAGGCTTATTATGACAATTCCTTCTTTGGAGGAGAAGTACATCCCATTTCCATGGCTCAGTAGTCTCCCTGCCAGCATGACTTTTTCAGTTTAGGTACAGTGGAAGCAAATTACAACAGCTGAAAACCCCTCATGTTAATTTGGAATGGACATTAAAGTGGCCTTAAACTTCTCTGGTATCCACCAGGTAGGTTTCTTTTCACTTCCATTTGACTATGCTCAATGTACATTTTATGCCAGCCATTTAGGTTTTTTATGTAATCAGTGGAGAATAAAATTATTCCAAAATTTATTCAATCATCTGGCTTAGATCCTGCATGGGGAAAGAATGAATTGTACTCTAGAGATCTGTAGCCCTGCATTTCGGTAGAGGGAGAGCTGACAAATTGCTTAGACAGTTTAAAGTTAAGTGAGATGAATCCTGCCCATCACTTCTGACACATACCCTTGAAAAATAAATTTCAGCTCCTTGAAATCAGTAGGATTCAAGCCATCTAAATAATTTTTAGAATTTTGTCATTCATCTTAAAATCTACTAGCTCTTCATTTGTGTGAACAATTGCACTTTTTTATCTCACAAGAACACTGTGAATTTAAATGCAGTAAACACTGTGAAGCAGACAGTAATCATTGCAATTGAGGTCAGATACCTTGTGTAAATTCTTAATCAGTGGTATTTGGAAGCAATAAAAATAAGGTTATATCTTTTAGTGATTAGTGAATAACAGAAATGAGTTGGATTTTCTTGGTTGCTTCATAAATCAAACCTGTATGCATTTAAAATCTTTGATCCCCTTCAGGTCTGAGCAACAGCTCTTTTTGTGCTGTTGTAAGAAGGATGAGTTAATACAGCCTTTCTTTAAGCCTTTGTGATTATCCTCTAATGATGACTCTTCCTATGACTCATGAGTGAAGGCATTTGTGTATAGATGATAGATATATATTAAACATTTACTTTTAGACAGTGTGCTACTTCTTATTATTAAATCAGTGCTTGAAAATTGACTTGTGAGCGCACTGGCAGAAATAATTTCCACCTATACAAAGATGTCACTTAAAAGGAAAAGTTCTTTTTAAATTAAAATTTCCTCTGTTGTCCCAGTTATTTTTGCTGAGGAGTAAAAGTCGGTGTCATCTTCATCCAAGGGAAGTTGTTTTCTTACTGAAAAGAATACAGAAAATATGCATGGTAGTCAGGAATCCAGAATCATAAGGTCAGTGTAGTCAAAGTTTAGCATATATTTTCTTCTATGCCTGCCATCATTTACTCCTCCATTACTTACCATGTTCAATGGAATCCTAGCATATTTTTTCTTAAAATATATGTAAAATTTCTCTAGGCTGACCAAGCACTGGAACAATGGTAGATAAACTCGAACCTGAGTCCTCTGTATAACAATCGCATTGCCTGACATGATGATTAGCAACTATTCCCCTCCTTCCTTTTCATAAGGAAAGATCTGATTTGTTCCTATGGTACAACAAAAAAAAAAAAAACCAACTAAAATCTTGTAAAATTTAATGGGACAGAAAAAAACATTATGGTTAGTTTTAACACGGATTAATTCTTCCCAGTAAATATTAAGCGGTTTAATTTTCTTTCAATAACCTTCACATCACTATCACAAACTTATCCTCACATCATCCTTGAAAAAAACCCAGTACTTTCTGTAGCCATTTGTGACATGTTATTTTGATGTATTGAATCAAGATTACTGTTCATTAGGGATGAGAAATGTTAATTTGAAGTCTGCTCCTGAGCAACAGTGTCTCTAGGAGACACCTGCAGAGCCCTTCAAATATTATTCCATAACATGTGCGAGTTTTGTTCTGCATTAAGATGTGAATATACCTTGGGTATTATTTACTGAATGAAGCTTTACATCATTATATGTCATTTGAACTCACATTTATTTAAAAGAGGACCAGTAAATTCCCTACACAAAAGGATACTCCTCCATATTTCAAGCTTTCATGAATTTAACTTTAGTTACAAAGTAGAAAATATAGTTCCAATTTGAAATAAATGGACTATTGTTAGTTTAAAAAAATTCCATTTATCCTTTCATGTTGTTCCTCTTTATCTTGGCTGATTTCTTTTTTTAAGTTCTGTACATCCTCTTCATAATCCTACTGGAATTCCACTGCTACTGCATTTACAGCCATAGCACACTTGCAGAATTCCAAAAGGTCTATTTTCTTCCATTTAATGTAGCAAAAAGAAATCTTGCCTGAATGTAAAACATATCTGTTTTGATTATGCAAACTGTTGTGCGTAATTTTGCATCTTCTTTTTATATCATGTCCATTGAATCCATTTTAAAGGGAAATCATTTTTTAGACTAAAATGTTATCCTAAAAGCAGCTCTACTTTTGCTGACATGATTGTGATTAGGAAATGTAGACCACTGCATATGAATACATTCAAAAAGAATTTTTCTGATCTAAACTCTACAAGAGAACAAAATAGACCACAAATAAATAATCAGGCATCTTTTATAAGTTTAAAAATAAGTCATGTATTGCACACTTTAAAAAAAAGTAAACCAGTTTGATCTGAAAAAAAAAACATATCTAATTTACAGCAGAAAGAATCCAGCAACATTGTTTTTTAATTGGGTAGTAGAAGTGTTAAGGTGACAGGACTGAGAACAGGTAAATCATCTAGGAATAGAAATGCTCTAAGACAGAAAGCCAGCTGGTGTAGTGCTTCCTTTGTGTCAGTGATCCATGCTGCATTCTGTAATAGGAACTGTTCAGACAGTCTGTTGCACAGCTGTTCTTCCTTAGAAACAAACAGCCAGGTCTGTTAGTGGTATCACTCTGCAGGTACTATAATGACAGTAGGGTTTTCTAGTTTGGATTTTGGTTTTTCATTTTATTTTCTTGAAAGTGGTATTCATGTTACTGAGGAGCATCTTCACAAGCACATAAATTAAAGTTGCTTTATATTGCCATCCATGCTGGATTAAGTCCTTATAATGTGTCTGTAGAAAGAAATTGTTGGGCCTGTCTATTTTTTAATGTATTTTTTAATGTTGTTATGATTTGGGTATATAGGAGACATAGGAGGATTATTCTTGTGATAAATATTATCTAATATTAGAAATAATTTATAAAGCACCTGAACTTTGATTACTTTGCTGAAGAGTTTCATTTTCAAAGCACAAATTTAGTTCTGCTCCATCCCTGGCTGTTGCAGTGCTGTAAGGAGATTGAAAAACATTATAAAGTGTCTTTTAGGATTTCTCTAACTTACCAAGCATATTCAGAGAAGAAGGTACCACTGGAATAACTCTGTTCTCTGACTCTTCCTATGCATAAAACTGATCTGGGTTATGGACTGCCAGTTATTAAAGCAGGTTTAGTCCAGCAGTCCAAATATTTTTAAGAAAATTGGCAATTCTCTACACTCTAAACACTGTGAAGTTATTTTCCTCCAAAGCATAGAATCAAATCATAAAGAATCATAAATATTTTTAAAGTCACAAATTAACTGTGTCACACCACTAATTAGCTGATTTTTTTAAAAACAAACACAAAATTAATTATGCTTGCTAGTAAGAGGTGTTTTTTTCCCCCCCCATGTAGTCCTTATGGAAGGAATCTGGAGAAACAAATTGTGATGATATTGAATAATGGTATTCTGGGACTGGGTTCACACTGAAGTAGTCATAGCTCTATGTAAAATAAAGTTTAAAGTCATACTGAGATTTTTAGTCTATGCTGGGGATGAAATAAGAATATGTTGAGTGGAAATACAAGGTGACAGGTGATACTGGGCTTAAAATGCTCTGGAGGAAGAAATGACAGAGATGTTATTAGGACTGGAAGAAGTTATAGACTAGTAGACATTCAGGATGCTATTACCAGCAGTGACTACCAGGGTATACCCAAAACCAGGCAAAGTTGCTGTTTGCTGTAAATGCTTTTTTCTTGGCTTCAACACCACTAATGCAGGTAGAATATCTTTGCTGTCATCCTTTTGCCTCACCGCTTCTAGACAAAGTGATCGTGTGGCCTCAGCGCCAGACTTGTGCCAGAAGCACCACTAAGTGGAGGCCACAGTACCTTTTATCAACCAGTCAGTAAGGTATGAAACAGAACCACCATGATCTAATCCAGCTAAATTGCAGGTGTTAGAACAAATGAGAAGAGTTGTTAGTAAAAGCTGACACAGGATTGCCTGTCCTTACTCCTTCTACACTAGGGATAACTTGTTAAATATTCCTTTTTGAGCACTAGAATGTATACCACAGAACAGATGGGTGTTTGGATCCAAATTTTCATACTCAGTACTTTGCAGGCAGGAAACAATTTCCTAGGAGAAATACCAAATGAAACAAATTTGCAATTTAACTGCAAAACTTTCAATGTTCACCTTCAGGTGCATGTTCCTGGTTTCACTAAGCTACACTATGTGTACCTCCAAAGTAACTCAAGACCTAGACCTGGGAATTCCAGAGAATTCATGACCAAAAAATTCAAAATAAGGGATTTAGCAGGACTGTCAGTTATTACAGCAAATTTCTCTGCAAACATTTTAATTAAAACTAGATTGCTGTTTGTGAAAAAGTTGGAGGTTTTGAAGAATTAATTCCATGATCAAAATAGACAGCTGTTAGGTACGCCAACATAAAAAGAAGCCTCTTATTCTATTGCATTTATTATGATAAAATTTTTGGCAGAAACAGGACAACAAGGATACAATATCTCACATGGTGACAGTGCTAAATTATCATTAGCAGATAGGAGAAATCATTACTGTTACTTTTGGAAATGAGAAATTAGGGATTTAATCCAAAACCCACTCAAGCCTGAAAGATGCTATTGCAATAAGCACATAGAAGGGAACTTAAGGTACAAAGTACCAGAGGGACTCTGGCGCTTTTGCAGATTCAATCAAAAAAAGCTTTAATATTAGGGAAGTTTTGAAGGGTCATGGAGGAAGGGAAGACGAGTGGGTTGCTTATTTCTTTTTGTTTTCAGAAGTGTTATTTTAAGAAAAAAGTGTTGCTAGATGAATAGAATTAGTTATTTTTCTTTCCCAATTTACCTACAGAAGTACCACTGTTTTAAACTACCAAGCTGACCACCAAGCAAGTCAAAGGAGATAAGTAAAAATGTGAACCTTGATGGGATGTTGCTATATAAGGAGAAGGTGTATCTCAGGAGGCTTCTGACAGCTTAGAATATTTCAGTTTAGCCACAGTTTATGCCAGTGAATTTAGTAAAAATTGAGAGGTGATTGTATGAGGCATTATCTTTCTTCCATCCCTGGAACAAACCATGAAATTCTGTAAAAAGTACCATGCCATGTTCCCTGTAGGTTTGTTAATTTAGTCTGCTATGGAGTACTCTCTAAACACAGTTTCTATGGCTTTTGCATCTTTTAAATTAATAATAACAATCCCATATATGATAGGCAAAAACTGTATTGTTTTCTTCTCTGTTTTTTACCCTTTCATACATGTTTTGTACAATAATTAAGACCTTACCTAGGCTGACATGGGGACAATATGAACTGTTTTCTGTTGGCCACAAGGACTTAGTAGCGAATAACAAAATATGTTTAGAACTAAAACTTCTGTGTTTATTAAATTAGCTTCACGGTTGACTGGAGATAGATAAACACTGTTCCTTTTCTCTTTCAATAGTCTGGAAATTTTCTTATGTTTATCCAGAATAAAATGATTCTGAGGGTAATTTTGATAGCTGCTGTCATTTCTCATTTGTTGTGTATTTGATTTATCATATGTAATGCAAAATAGAAAGTAAAAAATCTATTAAAATATAATCACCTAATAGGTGATTTAATTAGTGCATGTATGTAGAAAATGTAATCTGTGGTAATTATCTATAATTATGTTTTCCTTGCAATTTAAAATAACTTGCCTTTTTCAGTGGGGAACAATTTTTTTTCACTTTTCACCACCTTCCATAACATTGATTGCGTTTTTGGCAAGAAAAAACTCGTCACTTAAACTAGATCAAATATCAAGGAGTTAGTAACTGGTTATAGTTATTCAGAGACAGAAACACTTTATATGGAGGTCAAAAGGCTATCAAATAAAACAACAAACAATGTAGACTATTAAGGGAAATCTTCCCAACACTGAGATTATTGCATCATTCACAAGAAAGGTGACAGAGTCTTTTGCA